CGCAGAGGCGCTCCCACCGTTGCTGAGGGGCTCAGCCTTGGCCAGCGGCAGGTCCGTCTTGGAGCCAGCTGGCACTGGCTCCATCAGACATAGGTCAAGTTTCTAGCAACTTCTCAGAGAAGCCACCCCTGTAGCCCCCCCACTACCAAAGCCTTGCCACGCAAACCCAGTACAATGCCAATTTGAATAACATAAATGAAGCAGTTGTACTGTTTCACTGGAAAACCTGGAAGTGTTTGTAGGGGAAACAGTCGTAGGATATTTGTGGATCTCAAGGGCAAAACTGTTAAAGGGAGAATCAACATCTAAGCTTGATATGAGGTCCAGGAAACAAAAAAAAAAAAAGCCAGTGGGCTGAGAAGATCAGTGTTTGAAAAGCTCTGTGCCTGCTACACTTGAAAGCTGTAAGTTGTCGCTTCACCATGTCAGGCTCTTGATGTTATAAATTAGATCCCTGCACCTTGGCCAGAGGCAAGAGCATGGCTGCTGTGCAAGTCTCTGTGATGGGTTTCTGCATGTTTCTCTCCCCTCCAGGTTCTCAGCTCCCTTGGGTACCACGTGGTCACGTTTGATTATCGAGGTATGTGGCTTCTAGTATTACGAAACATTTCTAGATCTCTCTTTCTGTAGAAGCAACAAAGAAGTTGCTCTTTTTTTTTTTGTTTTGGATCTCAGGGGAGCTGTTGTTTTGTAAACACTTGCTGTCAGCTAATTTGATGTGGCTATTGCTTCTTTTTTCCCTCATGAGTATCCAAAGAACTTCCAAAAATTTCTTTCCAGTGCCTTCCTGTGTAGCACTGCTTCCTGGTGTCTAGCTTGGTGGGCTCTCGCTTCTCTGTCCTCATGCACAGGGCTCGTTAATTTGGGAGCTAAGGAGCAGAGTCTGACCCAGGCACGTATGCTGCCACAGCATCCAGTTAAGGCATCCTCCAGGTGCACATCTGGAAACCAGTAAGCCTGCCCAGACATAGTCTTTTGGATGTGATCTAATTGTATTTCCTGAGGTCACATGGGGAACTGAACTTCTTTTTAAAAGCTGATAGGTGAGATAAGACATAAAGTAAATGATTTGCTAACAATTGATAACATCCTCAGCAGAAGCCATGGCCATTTTGCAGCTCTGTGCCACCAGCAGTCAGGTATCTGCTGCTCTTTTTTTTCCTTCTTTGTATTTAAGCCATGGCTGCAGTGTGATGCCACTGGAGATACAGGAAAGAAATTAATCTGTTGCATTTTTATCAAGAAGACATCTGGGAGAGGTTTATTTGTAGGAGCATGCCCTGTTTTTCAGTCCTGCTGGCAGCTGCTTCTCTGGCTGCTGATTAGGTATCAGAAGGGATGTGGGATGCTTGCTGCTTTAGTGTAAGATGTGTAGACATGCTGCAGTAGTGACAGAGCCAAAATAATCGGGAGGGTGGAAAATTGCTTGAGGGCATTGATCGAACAGCGTGGACAAACTGATGTTGCAACAGCTTTGTGAAATGTGCTTGGTTTTTGACGCTAAGCATCCAATATTTAGGCTGTTAGAGACTCCACTTACAAATTGGTTACATGCAAAAGCACCGAAGGTTTGGGAGCTGGGCTGTTGCAGGTGGGTATGTGCAAAGTGTGGCAGTGTTTGAGATCCAGCTCTTGTTTTTGTTGTTGACTAAATCAACAAAAACTCCTTGGCAGCCAGCAGTTACCTTGTTTAAATGACTGCAGATCAATCAGGGCTTTCGGCCCCAAAGTATAACGGTGCAGAGTGAAATAAACAGAAACTGTCCATGTCCCAGGTCCCTTTGCACTTTCGGATGGGCTGCATGGGGAGAGCTGCTGCGAGTTTGTGCAACTCTCAGAGGGGCTATTTGTGTTTCAGGCTGGGGCGATTCAATAGGCAGCCCGTCAGAGAGGGGGATGACCTACGACGCCCTTCATGTCTTCGACTGGATAAAAGCAAGAAGCGGAGACAACCCTGTCTATATATGGGGACACTCCCTGGGCACGGGGTAAGCATCTGATCTCAGTGGGACTTAGCAGCTCCTTAAAAACATTAGACACTGACCTTGGATGAAGGTGCTGTTTGCAGTAATCCTGGGGCTGGCTTGGCTTGGAGTCTGTGGCGTAATTGCTGCAGAGTAGCTTCCCCTTTGCACTCTGTAGAAGGAGAAGGGCTACACTGAATGACTATGCAGGCGTTGATCTTGAACTTTCATTGACCAGAGGATTACACTGGAAAAAAGGAATAATATAATGCAGATTGACCGAGGGGAGAGAAAGTAGGACTATACTGATCTCTTGCTGTGGCAAACCTGTGTCTATCTGACATTCAGAGCAGAACATCAGGCTTCTCTGATACTCTGAAAGAGTATCTCAGACCAGCCACACAGGCATGTGACTTGCCCTTACAAAACGTTTTCTCCTGTCCTGGCAAACATGCTGTGTGGCAGAGTGGCCTGGGACTGTGGTCCCCAGCTGAGTTCCCTGGTGACAGTCACCAGCCTGGAGTTTGAAAGTTTTTGAAATACGCTGTGCTTGGAGGATTCAGCAACTTTGGAAATATCCCTGTCCCGTTCGGGAGATGCACAGGGGAGACGTTTTTGCTTTCTGACCCAGCTATGGGAACTCTTTTCAGTGGCACTCTGGGACCCTGCGCTCCAGCTGCCTGGAACACAGCAGCCTTCTGCCCATACCCCCGCATCCCCCTCTTTCTTGCTCAGCACTTGTTGTGTAGGGGTAGGAGGCTGTGTCACACAGCTGCAGATATGCAGAGAGCCACCTTAAAGGAGATCCTTCCAAGAGTTACATGGTGTGCTGCTTCCTTGGACCTCTTTGCTTACCTAAATGCAAGCACCTGATGCCATTTGAGACAGTTGTATGTGGGAGACCTGTGGGAACCCAAATCATTGTGGGCTGGCTGCCCAGACCTCAAACAGTGTGAGGGCCTGGTGTTATGGCTGTTGAGCTGTACCTCGGCCACCTACTAACACTAGAGCCTGGTGCTTTGCAGAGGGCCTGTGCCAGATTAAATGCTCATTGTTCTTCTTTCCAGGGTTGCAACAAATCTAGTGAGGCGTCTCTGCGAGAGGGGTAAGTCTGGTGGGTGGATGCTCTTCCCGCCAAGCCCGGGTCCTGCTGGTGTCCCAGACCTCCGCATATGTTTGCGGTCGTGACAAGGCTGTCCTTGGCGCACCGTGGTGGCGGGTGCTCTCGTAAGGCAGACCCCTGACTTTGCTGGCTGTCTGCACCTGTGGATTTCAGCACATTGCCTTCGGCTTTTCAGAAACGCCCCCGGATGCCCTGATACTGGAATCTCCATTCACCAACATACGGGAGGAGGCACGAAGTCACCCCTTTTCTGTGGCAAGTACACAGTGGCTTTCAGACTAGTGGCATGTCATTGTATGCTTAGAAATTAACATTCTGAAGTGACATAGCTAACTGCATGACTTGTGGAGCAGCAGTGATATTTATAAGTGTCAGGGATAAAGAGCTGCACTTGAGGGGCAGCTCCTGGGAACATCAGTACAATAAGCAGTACTAGAGCTGTGTGTGGAGCCTGCTTAAAGAAAACAGAAACGGGGATCAGAAAGGGCAGTAAATGTAGGGCAGGGAAGACAGACTCTGCTCTCACTGCAGAGAGTTCAGCCAGCAGCCCAGGGATGTTACTGGGATGGCAGCGGCCTGCTGTCTTACTACTGTTTGTGTAACTCCTGCTGGTGCCTGCCACTAACACAAATTTTTCCTCTCAGATATACAGATACTTCCCTGGGTTTGACTGGTTCTTCCTTGACCCCATCACGACAAGTGGAATTAAATTTGCAAATGATGAGAAGTGAGTTCCCTCTTTGGGGTTTCAGCTGTGGCTGCAGTGAGCCATGGCAAGCATCAGGGAGAATAGACATCAAACTGCACTCTTTTCGTTGAAGCATTATACTTGCTGAAGGGATTTCAGTTGCTCTCGCAACCCTGAGTGCAACGCAGCTTTGCACTGTAGAGTTCTTTCTTTTTTAATTGATAAGGACAGATGCAACAGAGAGCACGGAGACTACTTATGGAGGTGCTAATTTGTTCTGTGTGATTTATGCTTTTCAAGTGTATGTTGCATGTTCAACAGTAGCATTGGAACATTGAAGGTTTGGGAACATTTCTCTGCTGTGCATTTGCATAAGCCACCCTGCATGTAATAACATTGTGTGTTTTCACTGAGCCTTTCAACCTAAAGCCTGAGTATTTGTGAGTTTGGTTTCCAGTATTGAAACAAAACCAGACTTTGGGGGATGATGCTTTCCAGTGGGGCGAGCCACTTTTCTCTGGTCTAAGCAGCAAATAGCTTTTCCAAAGATGCCTTTCACTAGTAAATGTTCTATAGATCAAATGAATGGTGCCCAGATAGTAGTGTTTTCAAGATCTGAACTGCAGTTAGTGACTCAGAGGACGTGTTTGTCATTGTAGTTTCCTTAAAAATCCAAGTGTGTTAGCGTTAGTGTGATGGATTGCTCTGAGCCCTTGTGACAATGTCATCTCTTTTACAGTGTGAAATACATTTCCTGCTCTCTGCTCATCCTTCATGCTGAGGATGACCCGGTGGTACCATTTCATCTAGGAAAGAAGGTATGCAAACTGATCTGGTGGGAGGAACTGGTGTGGATAGAATGACATCCCAGCCAGTCAAAAAGTCAGCAATAGGAAGGCGTGTAGAAATGCATAGGCCGAAGGGACCACAAATTCTGTGGTGTTAAAGGTGGCAAATCAATAGTGAAACAGAGCTAGAGCTAGCAAAGCTAGTCAAGCCAGGGCCCATAACCCACCCCTGAGAGGGGTGCTGGTTTGGCAGGGGTGGCTGGTTTAGAGTGACACATGTCCTTCACCTGCCTCCCCTTGAACTCAGCTTTACAACATTGCTGCGACGTCACGGAGTTTCCGAGACTACAAGGTGCAGTTTGTTCCGTTTCACACAGACCTCGGCTACCGGCACAAGTACATCTACAGGAGTCCAGAGCTACCTCGAATACTGCGGTAACAGCCCAGCTAACTGGGGTCTCCTCTGGCTTGGAGGTGGGGGGGCTGGTGTTTGGGGCTTGGGGGCACACTGTGGCATGCGCCCAGGAGCAAGAGAGATGTGTAACAGCTGCCTGTACTGGGCAGCTCTTCTGAAAACCCCTTTGGTCTCCAGAGAGGGTAAGAATACCGGGGCTGGCTTAGCACAAAGTCAGAGCTCTCCACCGCCCTGCAGAGCAGGTTTTGGGAAGGGGAGCCACAGAAAGCTGGGAGCGCTACTCCTCTCTGCCTTGTCTTGGCTGTGAGCTGGATGCTCTGGAGGAGTTGTTTGCAGAGCAGCTACTTCTGCTTGCCTCTTCTAGTAGGAGCCACTGATGGGTGAGAGCAAAGCTCAGCGCTGTTCTCTGTAGTTGCAAGTGCTCAAGCCCTAGCATTTGCCAGGGGAATGGGAAGACCTGCAGGCTGGAGCATGCACGGGAGTGTCGGAGAGCTGAGCATCACTGCTGTGTTATTTCCTTTTCTAGGGAATTCCTGGGAAAATCTGAACATGAGCGTCATCACTGAAGACTGGCTGCTTGGCAGCACAGAGATTTTCCCTTTCTTTCCTTCTTCTCTCTCCTTTTCTCCCCTGCTCCCTGTGGGTCAGTCTGCCATTCTTCCATCCCTGGCACTAGAGGAGGTCAGGGGTTCCCACTCTGGTCCTGATATGTACCCTTGGCAACTCCAGCTCCCGGCATCAGCATCTGCGATGGTAGAAGAAAGAAGTTGTTGTCGTCTTTTTTGGCATGGATGGAGGGGTGAAAACGGACCAGGAGCCGGTACCAAACCGTGAAAAATATAAAGCACAACAAAGCCTGGCCAGTCCAGCATGGTACCACTGAGGACAGACATTCCTAGGACATGTGTGTCATGACCAAGTGTGTTTCTTTCACTTTTAAACACTGCTGCTGTTTTTGGATCACATAGAGACTCATTTGTAGGCGAATGGCTTTTGCCGTGTCTCCATACCACAGGTGTCCTGCTTGACTTTGAGGTGTTTTCTTTCTAGGAAATACATGTTTTGCCTTCCCTTTTTGCTAAGTAGCTGTCATTACAAATACACTAAAGATCCAGGTGGTGAGAGGTATTTTTATTTAGCTCTTCAGTCACGATGTGTTGCGTTGGGCTAGTTGCACACATTTGGAAATAAAATGAAAGATTTTTTTTATTCTTCCTTTTCAAACTTCTATTTAATGGAAAAGGTTAGTGCCCTTTTATCTTTTCTGTACCCTTTTCCTTCTGAACATTGTTTCTGCTCCCATCGCTGCTTTCCTCAGTGGAGCTCCTCCCCTTCTTCATGTCCACTTCCTATTAGGACTGAAGTGACTTATGTAGCTAAATTGCAAACTTGGGCATTTAAGCCAGAAAGCATGAGATTACTTTTTTTTTTTTTTGTTTTCCTTGATCTGCCCCTTCCATGAACACCTTGGGCCCAGTACGTGGGAATGGATGTCTTCCATTCTGCTTGTACACACCCAGAAGACAGACATGTGCTTCCTTTGCATGGGAAGGGCAGGTTTTTGCCTTCATCTACTTTTTAACTCCTTAGGTGAGGTTTTCCTGTTCCTGGTGGCTACACTGTTCCTCTGTAGTTAAAATCAGGCAGTGGTATACAGTTCCTGATGCAAAAATTTACATTCTGGAGTGTGTGTGTCGTCTCCCCCTTCACTCCCTCCACCTCCCTTCTGTGCTTTGGGCATCCCAGGTACTTCCAGTAGCACTTCTCAGTCCACCTCACAGCTATGGTCAAAGCATGTTGTCCAGGAGCCAGAAGTGGGAATGGGCGTCTCCCATGGGGAGAGGTTTTGGGGATGTTCTTGCCCTGCTTGGGGCCAGAACAAGGGCTGTTTTATGCCACTGAGGAGCTCTGCAGTGGGATGGGAGAGGGTCATGTGCTGACTCTGTGGTGTCTGGCTGGGGACCTGGCCCTGCACTCCGTCAGTCTCTGTAGACAATACCAGGTGCTGTAGGTGTAGTCACTAGTGCTCAGAGTGAATTGTGCTGCCCAAAGGGTCTGTTCAGGGGTGTAAAGCGTAGTATAAACTGCTCAGCATGCATCCAAGTTATATCTGCAGGCTCATACTAGTTGCAAAGCAGACAGTAGCTTGTTCTTGTACTGAGATTCTTCTGCCATAGCGTGGTTGTCCCTGAGGTTTCTGACCATGATACTCATAAGCTAACTGTGCCACTTAAATTATGTTTGATGCACTTGTATTTATTGCACTGACAGAAGAGAAACACTTACTTGGCTCTGGAGAGTGGTGTGCACATTCCAACTAATACTGCTGCTGGTAGCTGGCTTGGGGCAAAGCGCAGCCTGTGCCGGGGGCTGGCTGGCTGCCTTCCTCCCGTGTGACAGAGCTGAGGGTCCAGCATGTGAACCGCTGGTGTTGGTGATCCCAGCACCGCCATTCCTGTTAGCAGGCCAGTGATACGCTTGGAAATTTAAACAGAAATGTTTATCTAAAAGTGGTGTAGTTTTAATAAAGGCATTGACTGCTGATCAGTTCAGCTTCACCTGTTTTACCTGGCAGTTTTTGGGACTTTTGCCCAGGTGGGCAGGTCAACTGGGTGTGTGGCAGGGCTGCAGCAGAACTATGCATGGGAGATGAGCTCCCAGCTGGGACTGGGCAAGTCTTTGTGCCTGCTGCCAGCTCTGGGCGAGTGCATCTGTGCTTGTCGTTTTGGCTGTAGCTGAGGCTCTGCTTCCCTACTGGGGATGGGGGAAAAGGGATCTGTCTGTGGGGTTTCTAGCACAGGAGCCCTGTCTCTCATTTGCAGGGCAAACCCCACACTGTAAACCCTTCCCCCCCCCGCGCGTAGTCGGTATGCCAGCGGCGCAGGTACGTGGCTTTGGCCCTAGCTAGTCCAGTGCAGTCGTCAGTGCCAGCTCCCTCCTGTACACCCCATGCATGGGCAAGACTGACCTTTTTGCCACAGGCGTGTTTCCCCCATGACAGTGCCAGCACCCCAGCACTGTGCCAGCTGCAGGGGACCACATCCTCTGAAGCTGTATCTGGGGAAGGCCAGCATGGCTTCAGGTTGCAACCTTGAACCCAGAGGTGTGGAGCAGTCACAAGTCAGCCCAAAGTCAAACCTGCAGGTGTTCTGCTTGTTTTAATGAGTTGGTGTCACACAGGGGAGTACTGGTGCAGTACACAGCGCTACGGGTGTTAAACTCTGACCCCAGCACTGGGAGGGACACATGGAACAGCATGACCCAGCTGTGGAGGGACGCAAGAGATGTGATATACGTGCAGCCTCTGGGTAGCACACAGCTGTGCCTGGAGAGCCGAGAACCTGCTTGGGGCTGATGGCAGCAGACACCCAGCTGGCAGTGGCAGGTACAACCCTCTCTATGCAGACATGGAGGCTAAAAATCCCTGTAGCAGCTTGGTTACTGGACTTTTAGTTAATAAAGAGGCATGGGAGGAGGCTACAGCAAGCTCCATGGCAAGGAAGTTGCTGACCCAGGCCCTCTCCTCCTTGTAGCACACGGTGTTTGATGTTGGTGCCTGCGCTGGGGCCAGCTGCTCTAATAGCCAGCCCAACCTTCTCTAGGTGTTACAGGGGAAGGGGGTGACCGGAAGGGCAGGCAGTGGCCTCTCCCTCCCCGGCTTTGACGAGGATGCAAGACAAGCTCTGTGGTGGCTGAACCTGCTTGTGGGGCAGGGTCAAGGAGGCCAGGCCAGCATGCATGCAGAAGGAGGGGGGAGGATTTAGTTGGAAAGGCATCGTTAAGTATGGAGCACAGCTGTGGAAGACTTATCCGTGGACATCTCACTAAAAGCATTACGCAGCACATGCAGGCTGGATACATGGGTATAGACACAGAGTCCTTTCTCCTCTCCCCCAGCTTCTGTTCCCCAGTCAGGGCTCCTCCTCAGTGCATCCTTCTGCCCTCCTGCGGGAAAGGCCTTGCTTCTGCAGAGCTGAGCCCATCTGACTGGTGGTGAAGTGCAGGTGAGGCCTCCCGGGCTGGGAAGCCATCCCTCCTTCCTTCCCCCTGTGCTTGCATCAGTCCCGGGGGAGGTTGGGTGGGGGGATTTTTGTGGCAGATGGCTCCACGCCCCAGATCTCCCGGGCATACTCCATGATGGTCCTGTCACTGGAGAACTTGCCCGAGCATGCAATGTTCCTGATGACTTTCTTGGTCCACTCGCGGGGGTCCTGGGAAGAGGAAAGGCAGTGTCAGCAGTCGGTCCCTCGCCGGGCTCTGTCCCAGCTCACAGCCTGGCACGGCACCGGCTGCGCATGCTCCACGCTGGTTTAAACACTGGTGTGGGGCGGCAAAACCTGCCTCACGCCT